GTCAGTGAAACAAGTTGAAGTCACGTTTTGATATTAATTGAGTCAATACAATTCGGTGAATTCAAATCTTGCATTTCATATTAAATACGTGCTATCAAATCTTGCATGCATATTACTTCATGTTGTTGGCATCCCATTGGTCCTTAAAAAAAATAAAAAGTTCGGTGTTTTTGCTTTGAAGGTAGGAGGAAGAAGAAAAATGAAAAGTAGATAGGAAAGGGGTTGTCCCATTTGACGCAAAGTTAGCAAACAAAGCTTAGATGTTTTCAAAATTTCTCTTTTCTCGTCTCTTTTATTCTCAATTTCTATGCTTGCTTACCTTGGCTAATTTTTTAGGTTGATTTCTCATTTTCTTGAGCTCATTTCTCACCCTGTATCCTGAAAATTATGTATTATGTGTGTTTTAATTGGGCGGAATTAATAAAATATAATTAGGTTTGTAAAAGAGAAGAAGACTTTGAAAAAGATTGAAGAGTTTTTCATCCTATTTTATAACAAAGAAAGTGAAAAGAAACTCTTTTTAATTTTAATATGTGTAGAGGCTTAAATAATACGGCATGACTATGTGTTGTGTCCGGCTAGCCCCAAGTCGATTATTTTTGCTTTTTTCCATTAAAATATGCTAAAAATTTGTTGTTTATGAATTCTTTAAATTTGAGCCTCACAAACATTGAAAATAGAGAGTAGGAAGCAGCATGTGGGGCTCCTATTTTAGTATACAAAATCTAAATTGATTAAATAATAGTTTATTTTTTATTATTTAAATATTTTTTTCGCAATGTTAGGATACAAATTGTTTTAATGAGATTTTTAACATAAAATTACAATAAAATCATAAGATATAATTTAATAGGGGTTCTCTGGACAGGATATCCTTTTCAGTTAACTGGTATCAGAGCCAGGAGGTGAAAGTAAAGGATTTGGTTTAACTTTATTCTTATTTCTTTGAATAAACGTTTAACTCTCTATACCTGATTAATAATATTCTCTTTGGATAGAAAGGGTAATAGAGTTGTTGGGACATCGTTGCTGGATGTTAGAACACTCTATAATGAATTTTCAAAAGAAATATTAGAATAATGATTTAAATGATACAAGGTGCTTTAATCAAACTTGTTTTCTAGATCATGGACTTGAAACAAACCGGAAATCGGTTTGTTGAATACTATCGTTGAAAAAGTAGAACAGATTAATCTTCAGTTCGAAAATCTCAGAGGAAGGTAAACTATACGGTTTATCGTATATGCCTTACAACAAGAATTAACCCAGATCCAAGAAAGGATTGAAAAGGTAATTCTGATTACAGAGGATTATACTTGGAACGTGTTCTTACTTTCTTTTGAATAGGTAAAGAATCACGGTAACTCTGGCTTCAGAGGTTACTATCATTAAGATAGGTAACTACCCTATGTCACTGGTCCTTGTGATATAGACAAGTGTGTCCTATAGAAGGATATACTGAAGAAGAGATTAAGAAGTGTCTCTTAGATCTCTGTAATGGAAATCCAGATATCGGAAAGACTATCTGGAATGGCTAGGTATTAAAGACTGAGGGATGCGATTCATACTGCTTTGCAGCAGGGAGCAACTCGCTTTTGCAGTTTGTAACTAGTCAACTTACAGTCATAGAAACTTACGAACTGCAGTTTCGGAATAAGTGGCTGGAAAAAGTTGAAGCTGTAATTGGATATGGTTTGGAGAATCTCAAGATCCAAACACTGAAGGTTCTAGCGATCAGCCCAGCTAGAAGAGAGTAGAAAGTCTTCGGGTAAAACGACTCAGGGAATCTGGATCGGGTTTGGATCAGATTAAAAGATTTAAAACCTATCCCAATACTGAGGACAAAGCATGGCAGACAAGGATACGCTAAAGCAGTTTGCTGCCAGTTTACAAAATAAATTTCCTGGTCTTCCCCCGTTATGACAGATTTTGTAGCTCAGGAATCCCAAGGCGATTGGGAAAAAAAGCTGAAAATTTGTATCTTAAGGCTATTAAAGAGGAATACTTGTTTCAAAAGCGGAAGGTTAAAAGATTGAACTTCCGGAAATTACTCCTCGGATGCTATGAAAATTAGCAAATATTACGAGGAGGAATTAAGTAAACAAAGGAGGTCGGGAAGGGCAAGACCCCCCCAGGACCAAACTAGCGGATTGGAAAATTTAATCTCACAGCTCAGAGAATCTGAGTTAAAAGATGATCCTCTAGATGGGATGAAAAAATCGTTACACTCTTTTGAAGGATTCCTTAGGGAAATCTCAAAGCCTGAATTTAAACCCGACTTATCCTACAACGATAAAGTCGGAATTCACACCCAGACCAATCCACGGTTAGTGGAGATACCGTCGAGTGGAAGTTTCTTAAATTTAGATTGCGTCAGTAATGTAACTGAAGCAATTGAGAATTGGGAAACTGTTAACTGGGTTCATGTGCAAAATAAGGCATTTGACCTAGGCCAAATTACAGTTTTTACGGTCTACACTGCAGGGATTGCAGGAAGCTTCTGGATGAGTTTAGAAGCTAGTACCGGTATTCTTGATACTGTAAGGGACTTAAAAAGTTGCGAAGGAATTTTTGCACTTTTAAGGACATGCTCTGTCGAGAATTTACTGGAATAACTATAACAGTAGAAATCTTGCCGAGGTAGTAGCTTTGGACGCTTTGACATAAACTTCGTCTTTGTGACATGTGCCAGTTTGAAAACTTGTCTGTGAATACAGGAAGTATTTTACCAGTTACCTGGTGGCCACAGGAAGTGATGAAGAATGCTTTCTTCGCAAAGCTGCCCAATGGGTGGGACAAAGTGCTAACGAGGCGTTCAAGCTTCTACTAGAGAAAAACCAATAGTTGACTCTCTAGGAGGTAGAATCGAAGCTGTACGACAACTGTGAGAACAAGGTGTTTGAATGCCAAGCTGATAGGGAAGCTAAAAAGCTTGACTCAATGACGCCTGTGTTACAATTTTGGAGGAGTCCCCGGACAATATGGGCTGTGATTCTAAGCCAGGAAAACACAAAATGGAATACATAAGAAAAGAGGAAATACGTGGAGGTTTAATAACCAAAACGGTTTCGTTCTATGAGGAAGAAACCTGTTTCAATAAGTCCAAACTTCCAGATCATGGAAGGTTTATTCGAAAAAAAGGGAAGACTTCGAGTTCTTCGAAGGAAAGAGGTGCAAGGAAATTTTGTGGCTACTTGCCCTTCGGGAAAAGATGCAAAAGATGTAATTGCTGCTGGAGATTTGTGGTAGCAAAGATCATTTTGCAAACAAATGTCCAAACAAAGTAAAAAGAAGGCGAGTGTTAAACTTCTGAACATGATTTAGGAACTCAAACTTCTTTGATGAGCCTGTTTGGGGATACGAGGTTATCGGATGACGAATCAGTTTACGAATGATTTAAGATACTCAGAACAAGTTCAGAGGACAACTCGGCAGTTCAATCTGATGAGGAAACTTATCATCGTCAAGAACATTCATGATAAGATCGCACCGTCTTAATGAAAGTTCTGAAGATCTTTACGTATGATGAGGAACTCATTCCTTTACATGAGAGGAAAAAACTCCTAACCGGTCATAAGTTCTTCTACGAGTTACGGGATAATTCAGGAAATCCCAACTTGGAAAATTCCAAGGCTTACACCTAGGGAAGTTTTCGAAAGAAAACATAGGTGGTCATTCAAAGCAACTGGCTTGGAAGATGTACATGAAAAGCCTATTAAGGTAGCATTGTCAGAATCGTTGAAGAGAAATAATCTTTCAAACGATGAATGGCTACTAAGGTTCGTGATTTGGCTCGTCGGGCGAGCGAGATATGACGATGTACACTTGGCGCGGTACAAATACGCGTTAATAGGTGTTATTCCGGAGAGGAATGAATGACCTATCAGGTCGCTTACTGGATAGGAGATGGACCACGTTTACTAAACCCTAATGGCGGTTTTCACGCTAATTTAGCTTTAGGGGATTGTTATGGGACAATTCGACAGGTATATGGTCAGTCTCAAGATCCAATCTTAACGGATCATGGTTCTTCGATCTACTTCTGGCCTAGCGATCTTCTTCGTTCTAGGAACGGAATTACTATTCAATATAGGTAATTTACCGATTGGTCAATTCGGTAAATCCCTGAATGACACTAATGTGCAAAGGACTGAAGTTCTGGCCCAACAGAAAACTCAATCATTCCTATCTGCGCCTGCAGTGATTATCTAACGCACTCCGCTTGGCCTAAAAGTGGATTCTTCATCATTACACAGCGCAACCCAGGCGTGGTGTGGAATTAACTCATGTCGGGAATTCAAATTGCTGAACTTGGTGATCAGGGAATTTGAGGTACTCTTCCTAACTCCCCGAATATATTTCGTATCGAGGTAAGAGGTTATCGACCACAACCAAGGATTAATATGTTGGAAAAAGATAAAACGATGATACTGCTAGCAAGCAGGAAGTGCTCTTCTTTCCAAGAAGGATAATCGGTTATAAATCTGTTCAAAATCCAGTATATGAAGATGATACTGCCAACAACGCGATGATAAAGAGTCGAACGGTTCATTGCATGCATAGTACAAGGAAAAATATTGAATAATTTTATTAGAAGGAACTTTATTCCCGGAATCGGAACGATACAATTGGATATTTTTTTTTTTTGGTAGATACAGGTGCAACTAAATGTATGGTGTCGGCCCCCCCCCGAAAGCAATGTTTCCAGAAGATTATGGAACAGCTCTGAAAAGGCCTATCATGAATACAGTTGCAGATGGAGGTCAAAAATATGATTACGGAATTTGTCCAGGAAGTAGTCATATTGTTTTAAACAAGAAAAAATTTACTCTAAGGGAAGTCTTTCTGATTGGAATTACTTACGAAGTTGACTTTATTCGTTGGAAACTCATGTCTGGAGGACAAGCAGAAGTTGAGGCCGTTCGTCCCAGATAATGATTATATATGATTGGAGGCCTTCAATCAATCCTTGCAAAGCCGGAAATTAATACAGTTCGGTTATGGGTTTCGACACGAACGAAAACGGGCAAGAATCGATCACAGAATTTTTCCTGTTAGTTCACCGGAGAACGGGGGTGCAAAATTCCAAGGCTGTGGATGAAGAGCTTGTAAGTATTACGAGAGGTTATACCTTGTCATCTTTCACCACGGATCGCACGAGGTATATCGCAGGAGGAAAACCCTCGGGTGCAGGCCTGAGGCACGGATGAATTAACACAGAAGAATTCCTTGTAAACAAGAGCTGTGTTAACTCTTTAAATTCTTGATTCATGAAATTCAAAGAATTAAAGAGGAACTTTCTCCATGTTTCGATGATCAACAATTGAAACTATGGGAAAGGAACGGTTCTTTGATGTCTAAAATACGGACACTGATGATCTAATTAAACAGAATCTCGTTAGGTTCTCTCCTGATGTAGAAGAGGAATTTAGAAAGCACATACCGGAGTTACTTGAAGGGGACTAATACGGAAAGTAAAAGTCCACAATCTTCGCCAGCTGTTATGGTTATGACTAGGCTGAAGGAAGATTAGAGGAAAAGCTTCGTATGGTAAGCGACTATAGGCAACTCAATGATAAACTCTATAAGCGATGGATATAAAATCCCTAACAGAGCAAGCTTTGTTAATAAAGCTAGATTTGGAAAATCTTCTCTCGTTTTGATTTAAAGTCAGGATATTTGGCAAATCAGATGCAGAAGATTGCATACCTTAACGGCATTTACCTGCCCTAAGGGTTATATGAATGGTTAGTCTTGCCATTTGGACTTAAGCAAGCGCCATCCATAATTCAAAGGAAATGGATAAGGTTCTTTGACTGATCGGGATTTTGTACTGTCTAGTAGATGATGTTTAGTTTTTAGTAAACTAAAGTAGCACATCAAAATAAATCTTAGGCAGGTAATCAAAAGGTTCCTGATCATGAATGCTCTATCTGAACGAAAGAAGAATGGTTCCCAAACTAAGATTAAATTCTTTAGGGGTGAGTTTGGAGACAGGAGGAATCCAACGCCAAGGACACATTTCAAAAGAAATTGTGGTTTTACATATATGCTGCAGCTAAGCATATGTTTACAACAGTTTCTTGGACTCGCTAATCAAATGAGGGAATAGTCCCTAAATTAGCCGAGGTTTTAAAAGGATGAAAAAGAAAAGGTAGCTCGAACGTCCCTGGACTTGGAACAAAGAAGATACTAACGTGTTATCCGGACAAAAGACTTGACTAAGCACTAAAAACCCTTATCATCCCTCAAGATGAAGACGCTTGATTATTGAAAAGTGATGCATCGGAATTATATTGGGAGGTGTGCTTAAAGGCCAAGGGAACTGATAATCTTATTGAACGGATGTTCGATAGGAAATCAGGAAAAATTCCTTCAGCTGAATCAAGATATCCGCTCCTGAAAGGGAGGAAGATTTTAGCTGCGAAAGAATGTTATCCGGATTTCGATATATCGTAATCAGTCAGGAATTTACTTTAGAGGAAGATTCGTTAATAGATATTTAGACTGACAATTTATGAAAGGTTTTAAAAGGATGAATAAAACTAGATTAATTAGGTGGGCAGAATTGGTTTGCGGGATATCGCATTAAGATTGAAGACCTAACTGGTAAATCTAATTTTATCGCGGACTTTTTGTCTCGTTATGCAGGAAAATCGCATATTTAAATGGACAGAAAAGGAAACTGGAAGTCTCTTCTCATTGCTTCGAAAGAAAACTGAGAGGTCATCTAGGAGAATTGCCTTCCAGGAAAGACTTGAAGAAGGATACTCCTATGGAGGAAACGAATATGTGATTAAACAGGTAACAACTGCTCAAAGGAAATCTGTACACACAGGTTTACTATTTTTACGTGCAAAAATGCTAAAAATAAGCAGAGTTCAAATGTTTGATAGCAGGGAATAATACGTTCCAGGTCAGCTATACACGGGCTACGGATACTTCGATCGTAGAAATCTAAGTATCAGAAGGCCCACGCAGCCAGCATGTGGATTTCACCAAGGCTTACGCGAACTTGCTACTGGTGAATCTAGTAAAGAAACTATCAGGAAAAACAGAGGAAGAGGACTGTTTAAACCACAAACAGGGTTGTTTGTACTGCCTAAATTCACATCAGGATGACTTCCATGGATCATTTACTTCCACTGAAGGTAATTAGCTACTCAAGACTATGTGAACGTCTTGGAGAGAATTAGAAAGCCCATGTGCGCGTTGCTCCTAGCGATAGGAAAAGGACTTAGTCGAGCTTGTCTACTCTACTTCAGGATTTATGCAAGTGAGAACTCGTGGCTTGAAAGAAGAAAGCTGTATACTCGAAGCAACTGAGAGAATACATTTGGAAAAACCAATTCTCGTGAATATTAATCACAAAGTATGGACGACATGGATCATATATCCATGTTTGAGAAGCACGTATTCTGAAAGTAAATGTCACTGGGATGGAGTTAATGGCTCGTTTTGAGAAAGCAGATTTGAAGGAATTATCAAGGACATCCTCTGTTTCTAAATGTGTGCCTATAGGAATGCTTCGTTCCATGGGACTCTTTAAACGAGGTTTCTGTAGCGAAGTCTTTTAGAAAGATGGATCGATACTTCTAACAAGTTGACGTAACCGAAAGCATATGGTGGACCCTGTGAATTTCCAATGCGGTAATACATAACCGCGCTGGTAGTACTTGAGCAGGAGGAATTAAACGCCTTGGTACTCGCATAATAACTTCCCATTGTAGGGATGAAGCTATCCAACCTGTCAGGATATGGGGATTACATGTAGGTGATCAAGTTACGTAAGGATTTGCAGACGAACCCACATTAAAATAAGGAGTGCTGGACTACATGAATTAAGACAAGAAGTTGGACATAGTGAAAATAGGATATGGATTTGGACAAACGCATATTTACGTTAAAAGATGCAGGGTAAAATCCAAACTGAACGAACTCCTTCAGAAATGACGCATTAGTTCACTAGACTCATTACAGGAATTTGTCGTTTTCTTCTATCAAATATGCCAAAGTTTAGATACTCTTTTTAGACAAAACCAAGGCTGGATTAAAGTTTTGGCGGAGCTTTGAGCTCGCCTACTTAAGCAAGCCTGAGGAAGGTACGAAAGATACTCTATCAGGCCATTATAGCAAGAGAAGCTCAGAGTGGACTCAGAAGAAACTCTTTCGGTTTTTACTGGACTGTTGGAGCAGCCACGTCATCTTACAGAGGCCGGAAAAGGGAGATTGTCAACCCTAAATGAATCACACACGCCAACGCGTAGTGTATCAAAAAGCGGAATATTTGTAAAGATTAATTTTTGGCACTTGGAGACAGAAGACCCAAGTCTTTGGTCGGTTTTGTTGTTTGTTTGTTTTGTTCAAAACAGTAAAAATAGACTTTTTGACTTTTGTAAAAGATGTGCGCGGAGTTCAAACGTTGAAATCCATGCCTATAAACTCCTGACTATAGTAACGAGCGGTGATCGTATTTTCAGGGAGAGAACAATAAAATCAAATTTCTTAGAAAGAATACTCTTTCACTCTTACATCTTGAGTTTGACAAATGCCAGAGGTCTTAAAGAGGTTCTAAAAGAGGTAAATTTATTTCTTCTATTTAATAACTTGTTTATGTTCTTGCATGTTATAAAATTACTTGATCAGTGATGTAAACATAGCAATGACTAATCTGTAAAACGAAATGGTACAGATTGAACTGAAAGAAGGACTATCCTTGTCGCAGAAAGGCCCCCAAACTACCTATGCAACCCACCACCCAAGCATGGCGTTATCTTGGGCGCTTTAGCGTTATGATCCGACCGAATGCTTAAGTTGTTACCTATCGTGTCGGGAAACCTTTCAGCGATTGAATACCAGGCCGCGGGGGATGTCAAATTGGCTCTATACAATTTTTTTACAGGAATCATCATGCTATGTACACACAGGACAAGAGATTTGAATACATTCAAGAACATAAACGTGTATCTAAATAGAAGAGAAATAAATTACCCTTTGAACCTCTTTAAGAACCTTGCAGTTTGATCAAGATGCAAGAGTAAGAGGTGAAGAGTCTGATCTTTCTATGAAAGTTTGATTTTATTTCTCCTCACTGAAAATAAGATACAACTCTCTTATCTAGTACGAGAGTTAAGGCTGGATTTCAAAACGCGTTGAATACCGCCGACAGTCTTTTACAACAAGTCAAAGAAGTCTTACAGTTACTTTTGACAAAAATAACAACAAAAACAAAACGACAAAGACATGGGTTCTTCTGTCTCCCAAGTGCGCAAAAATTAATTATTACAAATTCGCCTTTTTGATAAGTAAGCGTTTGCGGTTGATCATTTTATGGGTTGATTAAATCTCCCTTTTTCAGTGGATGTAAGACTGAGCTGGGCCTGCGCCCAAACAGCTCCAGTAAAAATCCGAAAGAGTTTTTTCTGAAGTCCATCTGGCTTCTTCTTGGGCTTAGAAGGAACTTGCCCATGAGAATATCTTGTACCTTCATCAAGGGCTGTTAGAAAGTAGGCGAGCTCAAAGCCGTTTCGCCAAAATCTGTAATGCCGAAGGCCTGTTTTGTCTAAAAAGAGTATTCCTGAACTTTGGCATATTGAGTAGGAAACGAAGGACAATATTCCTTGTCAAGTGAACTAATGCGTTCTTCTGCCAAAGGAGTTCGTTAGTTTTGGTTTACCTGCCATCATTTTAAGTAATATGCAGTTTGTGTCCACATATCCATTCTACTTTTCCAGAATTCTTTTTACATCATGTAGTACTCTCAGCTCCCATTTTAAGTGTTGTCTGCAAATCCCATCGTACCATGGATCACCTACAATGACATTCCCATATCTGTACAGGTTGATAGTGCTTCATCTTCTGAACATGTGGAAGTAATTATGCAGGAAAGTGTGTAATTCTCTGTCAAGTACACAGAGATGTTTGTTTAACCGCAATTCTGGAATCAGGGTCCACCATAGCTCCGTACGTCAATTGTTAGATATCGATCCATCCTTCTGTAAAATCGATCCTTACGAGAAACCTTTTTAAAGATGGTTCCCATGAACGAACAATTCCATTAGCACCATTTAAGAATTACAGATAGTCTTGAAGTAATTCCTCAAATCTGCTTTCTCAAAAACGAGCATTAAACTCGTCCAAAGTGATTAACTTGGAGATAGTGACATTCAAACATGGAAATGTATGATCCATTTGTGGTCATCTTTTGGATATAGATTTCCGAAGAATGGTTTTCCAAAGTTTTCCTCTTGTCGTAGTACAGATTATCTTCTTCAAGCCACGCAAGTCTACATTGCTAAATCCTGAAAGTAGAGAATCAAGCTCGACATGTCCTTTTCCTATTGGCTAGGGCAACGAGACATTGCTTTCTAATTCTCTCCAGAGACTTTCACTAGCTGAGTAAGCTTAATCCTATCAGGGGAATGTAAAAATTGATTCCATGAAGTCTCAGCTGCCTGTCATTTAGCGAGTACAACAACCTGTTGTGGTTATTTTACAGTCTGCTTTCCTACGTTTTCCTGATTGTTTCTTGTACTAGAGTCAAACAGTAGCAGAGTTTCCCGTAGAATTGTGAAATCACCATGTGGCTGCTGTGGTCCTTCTGATAACTTGGATTTTCTACGATCAGAAGTAACGTTCAGTGAATGATAGCGTGACCTGGAACGTATTATTCCCTGCATTATCAACAAGTTGAAACCTGCTTATTTTAGCAGTAACCTGTTGGCTGTACAGATTTCCTTTGAGCAGTTGTTACCTGTTTAATCACAGTATTCGTTTCCTCCATAGGAGTATCCTGCTTCAAAGTCTTCCTGGAAGGGCAATTCTCCCTGAGATGACCTCTCAGTTTGCATTCGAGCAAGAAGGAAGAGACTTCCAGTTCTTTTGTCCATTTAAATCTGCTGATTTCTCTGACTAACGAAGACAAAAGTCAGCGATAAAACTTAGATTTACCAGGTAGGTATTCAATCTTAATGCGATATTCCGCAAACCAGATTTGCCAACATTAATCTAGTTTTATCATCCTTTAAAGACAATTTCTAAATGAGTTAAATATTTAGAATCTGTCCTTAAAGTAAATTCCTGACTGATTACGGAATAATTGAAATCTATCAGTACTTCTTCGCAGCTAAAAATCCCTTTCATGAGCGTGGATATATGATCAGCTGGAAGGAATTTCCTGATGCATATCGAACAATCGTTCAATATTATCAGTTCCTGGCTTTAAGCACACCTCCCCAATATAATTCAGATGCATCACTTTCAATAATCAAGCGATCTTCATCTTAGGGGAGTGATAAAGGGTTTTAAGTGCTTAGCTAAATCTTTTGTCGGTAACACAGTATTATCTTCTTTGTTCCAAGTCCATGGGACATTTAGAGCTAACTTTCTGTTAATCGTTTTAAAACCTCGGCAATTTAGGGACATATTCTCCTCATTTGATTAGCGAGTCAAGAAACTGTGGACACATAGTTATCTTCAAGCATATTAGGAAAATCCAACAATTTCTTTGAAAATGTGATCTTGGAGTTGGTATTCCCTTTCTCCAAACTCAACCCCTAAGAATTTAATCTTAGTTTGGAACCATTCTATCTTTCGTTCAGATAGAATCATTCCATGATCAAGGAACCTTTTGATACCTGCCTAAGATGATTTTGATGTCTTCTTTAGTTTTACTAAAAACTTAAACACATCATCTACATAGACAGTACAAAAGTCAGATAAGGCAAAGAAAACCGATCCATTTTCCTTTGAAATATGGATGGCGCTTGCTTAAGTCCAAATGGCAAGACTAACCATTCATATAA